AGGAGAGAAGGAAATAACGAGAAAAATAAAAAGACCACGTGACAAGTTGTCGTCCGGGCGTCTATCTACTATGGCCTATCTGAGCAGCCCCAGACACATTCACCGCCCGCAACTAACCCTTTCCTTTCCCTGCCCGCTCCCCTCCCCAAACAGCTCCCGCTCCCGCCAGTTTGTAAAAGTAAGAGCAAAAAGATTAGTGGCAGTCACCGGCGCGCGAACGAAACGATGGGGCAGTCCGACGAGACGAACTACCTTGTCAGGTAAAAATAAAATTGATGGTGTCACAAAAGCAATTGGAGAATGAAAAACGGAGGGGGGGGGGTAGCCTTTTTAAAAAGGCAATAAAAGGCGATGTGCGAAGTGTCGGTGAGGGGAGGCGGGGTCGGGGGCGGTCCAGGGTCACGTGACAGGTATGCGACCCTTTGACAAGGCCGCGGCCTAAGAGTACAGTACAGTCGATTCGAAAAATGAGAAAAATCTCCAGAAAAATCGAGCAAACGTGCCCCGCAAAAAAAAGTGATGTTATTTCTTTGTGTACTCTACACCTTCCCGTCCCGAGCACAGTATTCTTCTAAGAAAACCGCGCCACTGGAAAACAAACACGATGTTGCGGCTCCCTTCATAGCGTCCTCCAGACAAGAGACGTTTCTGGAGCCAAACGCCTCCCGGGGCGCTGCTTGCTCCGCTCCGGCGTCCGGCAGCCCTTTTATGCTCGCCCAGGTGGATATTTTTTTCCCACCCCGATGCGTTGCGCAACAAGCTGGATCATAATGGTACGGAAGAAAGTCCCGTGTGGCATGTTTATGGGCGCGAAGAGCAACGAGAGCGAATAGAGAAAAGAATAAGTAAACAGGTTGGAGAGAGAGAGGAAGGGGGTGGTGCCCAGCGGGGGCGTACCAAGAAGTGTTGCGTCACACCAGTTCAGAGAAGCAAAACGCGGGGATCGAACGCCCAACTCACTCATCTTGTAGCAGTGAACATCATTTTACCCTCCTAACCTGAAAGAAAAGGGACTGTGAATGCGGGACGGGTTGACCAATGACCATTGGAGCTTCAGGGGCAAATCTCCCGGGGATCTCCGACGAGGGGCGCTAGTGGGCTCACATGTCATGTTAAGCTAGTTACAAAACACAATGTTAGCACTTCAGCCCCAAAGCAATAACCAACTAGGGTATCAGCGAGGAGTAAATGTCCTACTCGTCTGCAAAACCTGCACGTTGCTCTTTTCTTTCTCATCGCAGACCGAGCGGTCTCACCATACGCACCTGTGGAATTTCTCGTAATCTCGAGCGCCATGAGCGATAATCGAAGTCATTCGGTTAGTGAGGCTACTATTAATTGTTGAACGCGTCCAGAGCGGCACAGTTGTCGCCTCAAGGTCCCCCCTCCGCGTCTCCGTCACCTACACCCTTTTCGAGTCGATCTCCTTCAAAGAGCAATCCACTTGCTGGCTGCACCTTTGGCTGCCGCTTTTTGTGATGTTGAACTCGAGACATATTTACAGCACTGCCCCCCCCCCTACCTTTTCCTGCCAGGGGGTGTGGAAACGGGAGCAGGATCGACGACGTTTTCCGCGAAAACTTGTATTATTGGTTAGCGCCGAGGCGTATAGACTGAATAGCAGGCGCTGCGGCGGTAGCACGCCATAACCGCTAACGGGACCAAACCCCTTGGGGGCCCGCCCCGCCCGCGTCCTGCGAGACCCCGAGCAGCACGATTGTCATTTCCGACTTCCAAAAGTCACCACTACGTCGTTGTACCTGCAGGTCCTGCAGGTGGTGCAGGCAGGGGTTCCGTCGCACGCCGCAGGTGGTCCGCGCGCGCGAATTGCGCGCTGCAAACTGCCAACTCATCTGCCTGTCTTATTGAGGGCGTTTGGTGAGGGGGTCATACCAGCATGACTGACCCAGCCATGCACATGTGCCAGGCACCCCTGCACTAGAAACCAAAAAACCACTCAAACCTGGGTGGGCAAAACCCTCGCGCCGTTTGCCGCAGTGTACCGCTCATGAGCGATCCTACTAAGCGGCGCAGATCCTCCCTCTGCCCGGCGCGAATTCTTTCCAATTATCACCGCGCCGAAGCCGAAAAACACGAAGTGCTTTTGCGAGTCCGATCGGCGGGCTGCTGCTGGTGATTGAATGGCGAAGGCCGGGGCCGGGTAGGGCCTGCCCAAGGCCACGCGCCAGGGATGGACAAGGAGCACGGGGAGCGTGGCGCGGAGCGGCGGCGAGCGAGCGGGCGGGTGTTCCTCGAACAAGTCGTCACAGGAAAAGCTACCGTCGCACACCGCGCACAGCAGACAATGCAAATCAAAGTGTGGAAAACAGTTACACATCCCACCCCCACCTCCACGTCAAGCAGAAGGTATTTGTCTTTTTATTCAAGCGTTCAGTATGGCGCTCGCCCGTCCGGCAGCCAGAGAGTCAACAGGAACCAACACCACCACTCGTCCGTGCGACCAGCTTTAGCAGCCGCGTTTACTTTGAACGTAATCAAGTCGTTGGCGAACACCACCGCTGCAAGGCTGGACCGCCGCACGGGTGCGCGAGGCCCGTCCCGTCCCGTATGGGGGCTGGGAGGGTAGACTGGCCCGCCGGGCAGCCCAGGCGCCGCGCGGCCTAACCGCCAGGCGCACTGCTGCGGGCCCGCGCCCAGCCCGGCCGGCGCGCGGGCCAACGGGGGGAGTAGAGCGGGGAGCCCCCCCCCCCCCCTCCCATCAACACAAGGAATTCGCTTGTCGAGAAGAAGAAAGAACAACCTGTCGGCACAAAGAAACCGTTCCACGCGACTCGAGGGGGTTGGGGGGTGAAGGGAGGGGGCTAAAGGAAGTGGGGGCGCAGCGGGGCAGCCTTGATCCGCCCGCGTGGCGCAGCACAGCTCGCGCCGCGGGTGCCAGGTCCAATAGCGAGGGGTGGCGGGGCGGGGGCGTGGTGGCCTACAAAAGCGCCATGAATCCC